GGCACAATCTCGGCTCACTGTAACCCCCTCCTCCCAGTTTCAAGTAGTTCTTTTGTCTCAGCCTTTTCAGTAGCTGGGATTACAGGCACATACCACCACACCCAGCTAATTTTTGTGTTTTTAGTAGAGACGGGGTTTCTCAATGTTGGCCAGGCTGGTCTTGAACTCCTTGCTTCATGTGATCCACTTGCCTTGGCCTCCCAAAAGCTCTTCTATTCTTAATGAAGGCTTTGCAGAGATGGGGAAAGGCCTTCACAGTGAGAACAACAGGCCTGACCCCCAACCACAAAGGAGCTTTGCATCGTTGGACCTGTCAGAGCCTTCTGGGTGTTAAGGTATTTTTAGCTGTTCTGTATTTATTGGAAATGAAAGTAAACTAAATGGTTTTACCCACTTTCTGGTGGTCAAAGAGTTGCTGCAACTCCTTTAGTCTTTTCTTGAAAAACTCCAGGACGTCAGTCGCCGATGCTAAGGCTGGCAGGGTGATTTTCCTCCACACTGAATGGCTTCAGGTTGCTGTGCCTTGGGTTTCATTTTGTTATATGTATTTTTCTCCCCCCATGACACAAGTGGTGCTTGAGATGATTTTAATGGCTTTGTGAGATGGGTTTAGATTTAGATTGTATTGGGTTGGTGCAAAAGTAATTGTGTTTTTTGCCTTTTTTATTTTTTAAAGCATGGCAAAAACCCCAATTACTTTTGCACCAATGTAGTATATGGACTTGACCCACCTTCCACCACAGTCATGGAGAAGATTTTCTGGGGATCATGTTAAATGCAGACTCTGATCCACTAGGGCTGGGGTGGGGCTGGAGATTCTGCATTTTTAACCAGATCCCACATGATGCTGCTGTCCTGGCCTTTTATGACTCAAGGTTTGATCTACAGATTGGCAGCGAGGCACCCCCAGGAAGCTTGCTAGAAATGCTAGTTCTTATGTCTCTTCTCAGCCTGCTCTCTCTGAATCTGCAGCCACAAGACTCCTAAGTGATCCCTGGACACATTAAAGTTTGGGAACCGCTGACCTAACGCACTGCTGGAGACCATCCCTTCGCCCCTTCCCTAGAAGCAGGGTTCCCATTTCTTAGATTCTAACCCACTTCCTAAGAGCTTGTAGAAGGATGTTTCCAGGCCCAGGCATGTCCTACACCTTTAACGCCTCCAGGACTTTGCAGTCCCCTGTGTGCCCACCTCTGTCCCTGTTAAGATCCTTAAGCTTTATTAAGACCCTGGTCCTCTGTGTATTAGCTCCACTGTCTGCATTCTTTGAGGCAAACATCAGTGGCTGGAGCATGACTGAAGGGACATCGATCTTTCTTAGTACTGCTGCTCCCAGAGGATATAATTTGCTTGATAGATGTGTTCTGGCTGCAGCTACTCAGGGTGGGTGTGAGGGATTGTGCAAAAGGCTGGGTCCACCAGGCTTTAGAAAAATTGCTATGAGGATATTAAAACCTGGAAGACAAACAAGATGAGGAAGAAAGGTGCTCTGTGGTGTGCCTGGTCCCTCTGCCCTGTGGCTGGCTGTGTGAGAAGACATAGGAGTCAAGATTCTGGGGTCTCACAGAGTGGGGGCTGTGTGGCCATCATAGTGTGAATCCCTGTGGGTGGCAGAGTATATTTCAGAGGTGGCTGCAGCCATATCCCTCATCCACCTGCTTTTCTAGTAAGAACTTGCCATACCCCAGTCAATGGGTGGAGTTATTTCCCCTCCCGTGAATCTAGACTGACCTTAGGACTCACTTCTAACTGGAGATGACACTACACAACTTCTGGGACTAGGCTGGTAAGGTTATGGAGCTTCTGCCTTATTCTCTGGGATACCTGCTGTGGGGGAAGTCAGTAGCTATGAATAATTCTGACAACCCTGAGACCACAGTGCTAGGGAAGAAGGGTTTTTCTTTTTTTGGGGGTGGGGTGAGTGTTCAAGATCTTTTGTTTTCAGAGCTTGCAACGGTTGGTTAGCAATGCTAGCTAAGCTGGATAATCTGAAGGCCATCCCACCTTTCTCTTTATGCATTCAACCAACAGAATCTCTTTCTTACAAACAAGATTATTGACTAATTGGGATCTGTCTCAAGGTGTGTGTGGGAAGAGGTCGTCTCCCCCACACTTTTCCCAGCAAGGTTGTTTTATAGCCAAATGCAACTCAAATCCATAACATAGCAACTAGCCATGTCCAGTATCACTGATTCCCCCACCGCTAGAATAGGAAGTTGAGGTAAGAGGGGAGAGACTGTGTCCTGTTATAAGAAAAACAGCAGCAGGGGTTCCAGCTCCTGCCGAGATTCCAGCGGACAGCCTGGTCAGTGGACAGCCCTCAACTGTGCCCACAGGAGAGATTCTAAGTGGGGACTGCCTAGATAATGAGCCCCTCTCAATTTCCTGACCCACGAATTCATGAACAAAGTAAAATGCTTTGGAGTAATTTGTTATATAGCTACAGAAACTGGAGTATTCTGAAGTTTTAGTTATCATAGGTATGCTACATATTCTTAAAAACATCCTTCAAACAAAATTTATTTTATTTCATGTCTTAAAAACACTTAGGACAGGAAGTAGATTGTCACAAAATCAAATAAAGCTTGAAAACTGTCTAGTAAAAATATGTAGGTACAGGCTAGAGTAAAATGATAATAGTAATACGATTCTAGTTTTTATTTCTCTTCTGTCAGGCACTACATATTTATTCCGTCATTTAACTTTCATTCTAACTCTGTAAGGTGTATCTATTTAGAGATGAGGAAACTGGGGCATAGAAATGTTAGGTAACTCACCATGTGCCACATAGCTAGAGCTGGGCTTTTGAATGCTGCTGGCCTGACTCGAGAGCCTGTACTGCCGTGGGTGGAAGAGATGTTAGTGAGAGGAGTTAAATTACAGAATGTCCTGTCCTTGGATCCAAGGGTTTGGAACCGTTAGGTATTGTTTAGTTCAATGCTAGGGACTCCTGGCCCATTAGGGCCACCTACAGGAGTGTTTAAAATCCACATTACCATACCCTGTTCACTTGGAGTCTTAGGTCTATGGTAGGGTGTTTTCCAGAAGGTTGACATTCTGACCCATCTGAAGTTGAAGTCTCTGATTTAGTTTGGCCTTCCCCATTGCAGAGGCCCTGGGAGGGGAAGCAACTTGCTCCACAGCATGGAGTAGCTTAGTTGGAGAGCTGGGGTGGAGAGCAGTTTCCTGATGCCCATACAGGGTGCTCCTCCATGCTGCTCTAGAGAAGGTTTGGAGGGCTGATAGCAGAAGTAACTTGTAACCCAGTGAAGGAATGCAATAGGGATTCTGCAGTAGAAGTGCTCCGGGTTCAGGGATGACGAAGGGTTGGCTGGATTCTGTGATGATGCCACTGCAGGGGTCTGTTCAGTCACCTGGCAAATAGCTACCAAGTGATGCCTGTGTGCCAGGCAGAGACACTGGGGGCCCAGTGCTGAGCAGAACAGTCATCTACATCACTGTTTCTGCCGAGGCTCCAGATAACATAAATACACAGACTTCTAGGATGTAAAACCTCACAGAGGAGGCAGGGAGACAAGCGGGAAGGGAAGGAGGGAAGGAGAGACAGGGAGAGAGACATGAAAGATGGGTGGATTTTAGGTATCTTAGATACACAATAGAATTGAGAGTCAGGCTGATCAAAGTGAAAGTACTTTCTGTGTCACCTATTCAAATTCCCAAAAGGATGTTAACTTTTGTGGTCTCTGAGTGCCTACGGTGGCCCAGCCGTGCTACTGGGCTTTGAGGTGACAGTCATGGAGTGGCTCCTGCCCTCACACCCTCACAGGGGAGCTGAAGCTGCGATCAGATCATGCTCATACAATGTCCCAAATTTGGGATAGAAACCGGGGCTGTGGGACTCCTGATTCTGTCTGGAAACTGAGACAACTTTAGGGTGACCCAGTTGTTCTGGTTTGCTCAAGACTGAGGAGTTTCCTGGGATATAGGACTTTCGGTGCTTAAACTGGAAAAGTTATGGACAAACCTAGACCGCCAGCCACCCTAGAGGGTTTCCTAGAGGAGGAGAAAGCTGAGCTTCTCCTCTCTAGCTCCCCTGCGCTCCTCATCTTGGATCCTGGGACTCCTTTTCCCAGAAGCCCAAACCAGAAGCCTAGGAATCAGCTTCAGCCACTCCTGCTCACAGGTTCTCCATGCTGTCCTTTTTCTTTCCAGTCTACTAGCCTCTCTTGCAGCAACAGCTGCCACAACCCCAGCACGTCCCACCTTGCCTTCTATTCTCTCCTCTGAGTCCCACCTCACCATGGCCAGTGCCGCCATTTTGAATTGAAATTCCCATTCCATGCTTCTTCACCAAACCTTTTTTTGGCTCAAAATCAAAATCCTCTAGCCTGGCACTTAAAGCCCCAAATGACCTGGCTTCTTCTGCTCTCTCCAACTGATCTGCAGTGGTGCTAAACTTAGTTCCTCAGGTAAAGGTTGGCTGGAGAGCTGGGAGGTGCCCAAATGGACAAGATCTAAAAAAGCAAACCTCTGTGTCTCTGCCCTTTTCTTCCCCCAAGTTTTTCTCTTGGCAGTGACTGCTTTTCATTGCCCAACCAGTGAAGACAGCACATGGGCAGCGGAGCCAGTTACTCCCTCACTTAGGTTCCACCTCAAGCCTGTTTTATTCTCAAAAGACCATGCTGCTGCTCTGGCCTCACCCCAGTCTGAGCCACCATTCTGACTTCAGTTTCCAGTTTACTCTGGAACCCCAAGTCCTTAGAGTCTTTGTATATATAAAGCTACTCCTTCTGGGTGGAATTGGTACTTGCTGGCAGGTGGTGATGAAAGAGTCTGCAGAGTCCCAGTGATTCTTTCAGTCCTTCCCAAGCCTTTGAACTGACAGCAGGGTCTGTCTATTTCCCCCTCCCCAGCAGGCTGGATCCTCCCATGAGGATGCATAGGAAGTGGCTGGAGTTGGGGGTGGGGGGCGCCTCCTAGGGAACTTCCTGCAGCAACAGAATGCTCAGCCTTCATGTACTTTTCTTTTTATGTTTCAGTTTTACAGAGTTTTTGGATCCGTTCCAGAGAGTCATCCAGCCAGAAGAGATCTGGCTGTATAAAAATCCTTTGGTGCAATCAGATAATATACCTACTCGCCTCATGTTTGTAAGTACCATGATTTCATGCCTTATTTGACCACTCTCTCCAAGATGAAACAAATAGGTTTCATCATTGTGTTTCTAACCCTGAAGACAGTGGGTAGCCTGAGAGAAAGAGGTAAGCAGCCCATCAAATTAAAATCCAATTCATGATAGGAGCTGCTTTGTCATGTGAGAAGTAGTCATTGCCCAGTATTGTGGAACGAGAAAGGACTTGCTTGTCTGGGCTACGCTGAGTCACAGTAAAGGAAGACTAGAAGCCAGTAATAAGAATTGTCTGTCCCCTCTCTTTTTAGGATAAGCCTTGATTGTGCCAAAGGAAGGTACCCAGATAGCTCTGCTAACCTCCTTTCAAGTTTTAGCTGATCAGTTGTTGGCCACTAATAAGACCACCCTGTGCTTCAACCTCTGGAGAGTGTCTTGTGTCTCTCTCCTTCTAGAATAAATGGGCAAGCATCCACAGAGCTGATGGATATATTGGGATTAATTTTACCTCCCCTACCCACAATGCCACTGTGCCAGACTTGTGGCTGAGAGCTTAAGAAATGATGGTCTCATTTAATTCCACCCAGCATCCCAGTAAGGAAGATGTCATTATTGTCCACATTTCACAGATGCAAAAATGCATTCCAAGAGAGATGAGGGAACTTGCCCAATGTCACACTGCTAATGAGCACAGCACCAGGTTCTAGCAGCCAACTCTTGGAGCTCAGCTCTCAGCCAAGAGGCTCCCCTGCAGGTTGTGGGCAGAGTGTCTGGGACTCCTTGCTGATGCTAATGAAGCCCTGGAGAGTTGGAGAATCGCCATCAAAACTTTCTGGAGCAGAGAACATATTTAAGCTCCTCTTTGTTGTGGAACGATAATGTGACTTTTAGATGGGCAGCCTCCCAGCAGCTTGAATGTTATTCCTGTTGACCTGCCATGGTGTCTCGTGCCTGTCTGGGAACTGCTCCAGAAACTTCATAGACACACAGGGGACATTTTTGTATTTTGAAATAAATCACTCTGATTTTACAGAGAAAATTTTGTTAATTAGTGATGATTGGAGATATCTGTTCTTTTGCAAACTCTTGGAAGTGCCCATAACGCCAGTGAGCATTAAATTATCATTTTAATTTCTTCATAATAGTTACTTTTCTGCTGGAAAGTAAACTGGATTTTTATAAATCTTAGGGAAATTGACAAATTAGGGTTGTTGTGAGTAGGGATTTACTAACACATGACTACTATAATTAGGCTTTTTTCATTTCTTCTGTAACTCAAATCTTCTATAAATCCTAGAAATAAAGGAATCAGTGTATGTATAATGAGTTTACTCAATGGCTTTAATAGGGAGATGCTTCTATTTATCAGTTACTCCTATTTTTCATAACATTTTACATTTCATGTGTTATAAAAACACAATTTGGAGATGAATGTTCATATGGGATGTTGTGAGAAATCTGTGGCTGTGTCCTAGATTTATGAACAATGGATTGTTTTGAAGTCTAGATACAAATGCCACAAATATTCCGGCTACAGACACAAATAGGACGGAGCAATTTGCATGCTGGCGGTGGTAGAAATTAGGCAGTAGAGAGCTTATTCAGCGCTGGGGTTCTCAGAGAACAGAAGGATATTCAGCCACACATACTGACTCATACCCTCTATTCTCCTAATTAAATAAGTTCAATCTTTTATTTCATTGATAGTAGTTGATGAATTTCATTCATTTAGTCACATGATTTAGTACAATTCCATAATAATACAAGGAAAGCAGTAGATAAATTTATAATACTACACAAAGATGAAAAATATTTTGTCACCCCATAAATAAGATTATTTTCCTGAGTTTTAAGAATTTAGCATAAGGCATTATGTGAACACTTCTGGTCCTTTAAAACCTTCAGATGTTGGCCAGGTGCAGTGGCTCATGCCTATAATCCCAGCACTTTGGGAGGCTGATGTGGGAGGATCATGAGGTCAAGAAATCAAGACCATCCTGGCCAACATGGTGAAACCCCATCTCTACTAAAAATACAAAAATTAGCTGGGCGTGGTGGCACATGCCTGTAGTCCCAGCTACTCGGGAGGCTGAGACACGAGAATTGCTTGAACCTGGGAGGCAGAGGTTGCAGTGAGCTGAGATTGCGCCACTGCACTACAGCCTGGGCAACAGAGCAAGACTCCATCAAAAATCAAAACCAAACCAAACCAAAACAAAAATTCAGATGTTAGCAGAAGAAATGGTAATAGAACATCCATTTTTACTGATGCAGAAAATGGCTCGATTTTCTGTGAAAGCTCAAATTTTTGAATTTACTACATAAACAAAATCCTGGGATCTCCTTTAATTTTGGTTGGAATGTTTTAATTTAAAGGCAAGAACTTTCTAACTTTCAAGGTGTGTTTTAAAGGCAGCTGGTATTGGTTTAGTTTTTTTTATTGGATAATTAATGCCTCTAGAGTCATGTGTGTGCAATTTAGAGGAACTAGTTGGGCAAATGTAACAAGAAAATTAACAGAATAATGGCTAGGGGATGAAGTGCAAAGTAAATGGTAATAATGTTACTGGAAACCTCCTAACTTGCACTGTTGCTGTCTGTGGCACCATTAGCTCAGGTGATGTCTGTCACCCTGAAAGCTGGGTGTACTTGGAGCTGTTTGATTCCAAGAGCTTTTTCCCCTTGACGACCCAGTATTCCTGTTGACCAGAGAGATTGGCTGAGAATTCTTTTCAGATGCACTGAAAGGTCTTGCTTAGCATTTCTGGGATATGCCCAAGCAGTTAGCCACCTTTATGGAAGGCTGCTTCCTTATTCAAAAGAGGCCATGGCTTCCTGCTGAGTGTGAAGGATTTATCAGAACATCTTTAAAAACCTATTTTTTTTGTGTAGGACAACTTAATTGGTATTGGTTGTTGATTTTTGGTACACTTTCTTTTGTCTATAGAAGCTGTCTCTTTGTACATTCAGGTGACATTTCCAGGGAGCCTGCTATGGGTGAAGAAAACCATAAGGGTTATAGGGGATGGGAAGTCCAATGAGATTTGGGGTGTACCCCCAGGGACCCTCCAGGATCCCTGGCACATTAGGGTGGTACTCTAATACAAAATGGAATCTGAAAAGGGCCAGAGGAGAGGCTCAGGTAAGTTCTAGGAAACCTGTTCTTCATCATTATTATCATTATCATCAAAGCCATCATCATCTACAACAGTGAACATTTCTTGAATTCAGGGACTGTGTTTATCTCTTTTTAAAGAGCATCTCAGTTAATCTTCAGAGTCCTCTGAGGTCAGCACTTTTGTTAATCTCATAAGGTCAGTGGAGAAAACAAAACTAGGGAAATTATGCAATTTGTTCCAGTTAGACAGCCGTCAGTGGCTGGAGCAGGACTTGAGCGCTGGCTGTGAGTGCAAACTCTCTCTTGGAGCCACTCTGCTATGATGCCTCCTTGGTGATTGGTGAGGTGGAGAAGTAAAGGCAGAGAAGGAGAATGAGGGCTATGTGGGTCCTGTGAATAGGAGTTTGTTTGGAGTATCTATGGGTAAGGGCTAAGAAGGTGGCAGGGATAGAGCCAGACTGAGGGCAGCTTTGGATTGGTTAATTATGACCTAATTCAGTGGGTGATTATAAAACACCTGCTGTGAGCAAAGTTGAATAAGATATGGTTTCTAGTCTAGGGAGGGGCCCAGACGTGAACACAAGGTGGACGGTTCAGCATCACTAAAAAGCCTTGAGAAATAGGTAAGACCCAATAAGGAGTTTAAGGATTGATAGGTTTTGCAATTTTTTTTTCCTTGGCTTCCAAAAGAAATCCACACACAGCCTGTTCTTTGCCCTCTTCTCTTTTTGCTTTGGTCGTGATATGTCCAGAAGATTTATTCTCATGGAATATTACTGATAGATACTGTTTTGATTTGATACCAGGGTTTTTTATTCTGGGCTAGGATGCTTCTAAGGAAGACAGAAATAAAGTCATTTTGGGGAGGAAGAAGGAAGGAAAAGAGACAAGGCTGGATCATGATAGACAGTTTAATTTTTAGGCTCTTTTTAAGAGTCTTAGACAGCTCTTTTATCTGTGATGGGATGTAATTGTTTACCCACAACAGGGCCTTTTCCAGGTGTCTGCTGTCTTAAAGTTGTCATTATAATCACTTTGCAGCACACTTTTCTGTCAAAAGCCAGAAATGAAGGCACTTTGGGCCCATTGTTTTGTTTGATGTGAATGAACCTTAGTGACAAACTCCTCTCTGGCTAACACCCTCACATCGGGGCTGCTCTGGCTTCAATCCCTTCTGGTTGTTAGAAGTCCTTGGCGTCCTTATGCCCTCCCAGCTCAGACACACTGCCCCACATTTTGGCTTCCCAGAAGCACCCCAGGCAGTATGGTACACGGTGCCCTGCATCAGCATGTGGGGATTACCCACTTTCTGGGTGCAGCACTGGCCGGGGATTGGCGGCCTTTCCTGTGTTGATCCATGGGTGGATGCTCCATACTCTAGTTGGTCATTTAGAGTATGGTAAGCATACCTGAGAGAATTAGGCTCCCTCTTCTTTCCCCAACCTCCTTCCTCTACTCGAAGGTGCACAGTACTCAGATCTAAGCGTGCAGGTAAGCTTAAACTAAAAATGCTTTACTCTGATATGTCTGGTGACAAGACCCTGATACCCTTTTAACAGTCTTTTCCAGAAAATAATGAAATACTAGTCAACAACCAGCATTTACTGGACACTTGCTCTCTGTTGGACCCTGTTGATGGGCAGCTGGTATGGGCTCCACAGTGGTCTACCAGGGATCAACTCCCAGCTTTGCCACTCACTAGCTATGGAAATTTGGAAGATCACCTCCCCTCTCAGCCCCTTACTTTCTTTATCTGTAAAAGGTGTCTTTAAGTGCATGCCTCATCAAGCTGTAAAGAGCATCAAATGGGGGTGATAGACCTATGGCATTTCACTTAGTGCGTGGTACCTAATCAGCATTCCATAACTGTTAGTGAATTGAAATCCTGCCAATAATACTTGCTATGGGTATTATTATTATCTTCATATCCGTTTTATACATAAGGAAACTGAGAATCAAAGAGGTTAAGTGACTTGCTCAAGGACAAAGAATGGATAAGTATCAGAGCTGGGACTTGAACCCACCTCTTCTTAATCTGAGCCATTCCGCATATATATATATATATATATATATATATATATTTTTTTTTTGCACAGAGCTCTGGCTTCCCAGCCTGTGGAATAGGCTACATACAAAACTAGCCACGTACCATATCTTATTTAATGATACATGCACTATCTCTTTATGTGGGCACTGTGCAGTACAATTAGTAACTTTAAAGATGGTGTTCAATGTATTAAAAAAAAAATCTCTTCCAGCCTCAGTTTCCCCACCTGTAAAATAAAGCTTGTGGGCTAAGGGAATCACCAGATTCAGGACTTCAACCCAAGAGCATGGCAGCCCAATCTGGGGAGTCTTGGTCCCACTAGCTGTATGCATTTTTGTTTCCACTGATCTCTCTGAGTTTTCATCTGGTTATTTGAACAACGGAGATAATGTTTTCCACAACGGAGTACTTAGAAGATTGGAAAGTATGAGGAAGGTCCTTAACATGTAGTAGGTGCTTAAGCCATGACAGCTGTCACTAAAATTTCCATGGCTTATCTATGTCCTGGAAACAAGCCTCCTTACCTTTCTTTTTTAACTTGATAAAAAAAGCATGTACTATGTTTTATTTAATGTTTACTTTCTAGTGCCATGGCACTTTGAAGGCTTCATTCCCTTGCCTGAGAAGCCCTTGAAGTGAGGAGGCTTGGGCCCTCCTGGGTGCTTAGCACTGGCTCAAAAGCAGTTGATAGTGGTCCTAGAAAAGACACCCATATGCATCTACCTGGGAAAGTTGTAACATGAGTTAAATTAAGTCCAGTCTGCTCTAACATTGTGGTTGAAAGTACAGAGTTTAATATAGATGCTAAGCACCGAGGAAGGCCAAGGCTCCCCACCTCTCTAGGGCTTCTCAGATGTGGGAATGCAGCCTTCAAAGTGCTGTGGCTCCCAGTGTCCACTCATCAGTGTCCACTGATCTCTCTGAGTTTTAGTTTGGTTATTGGTACAATGGAGATAATGTTTTTAGTTGTGTGACTGACTAGTTGTGATTAGTTATGTGCCTTCCAGCAGGTTGTTGAACCTCTCTGTGCTTTAGTTTCCTATGTATTAAGTAAGAAGCCTTTTCCACCTAGGATTGCTGTGAGAATTGAATGAGTTATTTTTCATGGGGTGCCTAGAATAGACCATGGTCCTTAGTAAGTTCTCAGTATATGTTAGCCTTTGTTATTCTAACCTAGGTAAGTACATTCAGCAGCTCCATATACTTAGCAAGTGAGCAAAACTCAAGTCCAAGAAGGGTTCAGTATGTTTTCTGAATTCTGCAGCAGTGTTTGGCTAGAATTCTTTGTTTTCTCTCAGGTCCCATTTAATAAAATAAGCACTGACCACTCCCCCATCTTCCTACCCTGGGCTCATCCTAGGGTTTCCTAGGTTTTGATTCTTTTAAGATTAGCCATGGAAACATTAACAGAAGAGAAACAATACCAAGGGAGGTTTTGCTTGCCCATGTTTTTCCTCCATCTCTGCCCCTGTGTGGAGGTACCAGGGGCCATCCCCACCTCATGTCCCTCTGTTCACCTTCACCTGCTCCACTGGCTCGGGCAGCAGAATCGCAGCTACCAATAGCCTTTGTCTGAAGAGTGGAATGCATGTGCACTGGCTTTGATTCAGTCTGCTTTGCTGAGTGAAAGTGCGGTGATGGGGTTCTTATTCTCTCTTCATTCTTCCTTCTACCCAGTTCAGAGGTGTTTTGCCCCAAGAGGAAGTTGTTTTCCTAATGCATTGGCTTCTGGAGTTCATCTCTTAATTCTAACTTTCAGTTAGACAATGTTTATACACCAGGGGGTGAATGATGCATGTAAGTATGTCTCTATCCATCCCGATTTGTGGTCTGTGCTGCCCAAGGATATGGCAGATATACTTCCAAGAAGAAGAAATGAGCCTGGGAACCATTGCTGTTAGGATGAGAGGGGAAACAAGCCACATCATGCAATCACACAGACATCACTGCTCCAGTCACACTGGGGTGGGAGCCATGGCACTTTGAAGGCTGCATTCCCTCGCCTGAGAAGCCCTTGAGGTGGGGAGCCTTGGGCCCTCCTGAGTGCTTAGCATTGGCTCAAGAGCAGTTGATAGTGGTCCTAGAAAAGGTACCCACATGCATCTACCTGGGAAAGCTGTAACATGAGTTAAATTAAGTCCAGTCTTGTTGGGGAAGTGGGAGTGAGAATCCTATGAGGAAGAGGCAAGTAGAGGCAAGGAGCAGTTCTGAAGGAGACTGCTGGGCCATCCAGCCACTAGCCTGGAGTCATTGGGCAGCTCTAATGATTTCAGCCCGCACACCTGGCCTTGATCCCGAGGGCCTCCTACGTGGTACCCACATCTCCTATGTGGGCAGTGACTTTCTGCTCTGGAATCTCCTTTGGAAGCCTCATTGGGAAAGTCATCCCAGCTCATTTTTTTGGGGGGGGGGGGTTGTTTCATTTCTGCTTAACCTTAGATTGTACCAGCTGGGATTGTGTTGAAATGTTTCCTTCAGAACCATGTAGTTCTCCTATGTAAAAGTTGACTTGGTGGAGTCATTGCTGATCATCCACTGTTTGGTGAGTTGCTTTCTCCTATTTGGGAGCACATTGCCTGCTCTGTATGCAGTGCATAAAGGGACAGAAAACAGGAAGGGAAGCTGGTAGGCTTCATATTTGGATTTGGAGAAACAAGGGCTTCTTTTGCCTTGACCATAACATTGGACTTCACAAGTGATGCTTCAGTTATTGCTTCTTAAGCACTAAATGTGTGAATCAAAAGTCTAAGGCATAATTCTCAATCATCAGCATCAGTAACATTTGAGATGATGTTAAAAAGGTGCATTTCCAGACCTCCTATATGAGCGTATTTGAGGAAATCAGCACTTTAACAAGCCCTGTTGTTATTTAGGTGTGAGAACTGCCCAATAACTTATGGCAGCTTTCACAGACTTACTGGACCTCTTAACTCATGAGTGTTGCCCTTCTGAATAGGCCGCAGGGAAATCCTCTGCTTTCTCTGCAGCGGTTCTGAATCTCTTCTCATGCATCTGCCTTTTAGCACCTTAATACCCTCCATGGTGTTAAGACTTGCTTATTTGACTCTTAAACAGTCCAAATCATTCAGGGCCACAGCTGAATCATCAAACTGGTTACTACCACTTCTGGTCAGAAAGAAATGGTGGGAAGTAAGGAGAGAATTTTTTTCATTTCTCATACAATTGATCTCTGAAGACAGTTCCCAAAGAGGAGTCCCCAGGATGATTTGAGCTCTAGCAGTCTGGTTGTAGTAAAAGTGTAGAGCATCTCAAATAATTTTAAAAGCCTGCATTCATTTGGGTGGATTCTGTTTTTATAAAAGAAGAGCATCTTCCAGCCATGGCTTAGTCCCATCAGGAAGCCCCTCCCCAAAAAGTGATGTCTTACTAGAGCAGAAAGGGAGATTTCCAGAATTATGAACACTATTGATCAACAGTTACGCCCCAGCCCTCCCACCACTGACTGCTAGGCCAATTCTGGATTTGTGAGATGTTTGGTCTCTTCTGATATTGTTATCCTGAGATATTATAGTTGTAAGAGAGTAACATAAATACCTTTTATATGGTTGGTGGAATGTTTAAAAATAATTTACTAATTAAGGAAAGCTGGAATAAAGCATATGGGAAGCGAAGCCTTGTCCCCAAATCCTGGCCTGGCCCCTCTCCAGCTGTGTGTTCCCAGGCACATCACCTAGTCCTTGAGCCTGGAGGAGGCAGTCACAGAGCTATCATGAGGATGTAAGAGGCTCCTGGACTTGATGGTACCTAGCATGGTTCCTCCTTACAGTAGCTTTTGTAGTGAATGTTGGTAGCATCTGAATCCCACCAATTTAACTCATTAAGTCTGAGTTGAGCATCTGTGAGGAGGAAAGGGGATGGAAGAAGGGAAGAGGAGAGACTTTATGCAAAAGGACTAACCTCTGCTTTGCAGAAGAGACAAATATGCAGCAAAAGAACACCAAAAGGGAACGAATTGATTGACTCTAAGTGAGTCCCACATGCACTCATGTTTCCAGAGAGATGGGAGTGGGAGGCCAAGGGTTCTTCATCCTTCCACAGAGAAGAACATGAGGGGAATTACTGGCAAACATGATTCATCATAATTATAGACTATTCTTTTCCATTTAAAAAGCCACCGCTTTAAACATGGCTCTTGGCAATTACAAATCAATTATAACCTACAATCAGATCTTCCATTTTTAAAGTCTGTGTAGTCTCTAAGTACAGACATACATCATCCTTTTTTTTTGTTTGTTTGAGGTCAGGAGTTCAGTAAGATTGTTCATCCAGGGAGTCTAAATGAAGCTAACGGGAACTAATGATCAGTCAGCCCTTCTGACAGCAAACTGATGTCCTCATAAGGGATTGTTTGTTATTTCTTCCAGGCAATTTCTTTCCTCACACCCCTGGCTGTTATTTGTGTGGTGAAAATTATCCGGCGAACAGACAAGACTGAAATTAAGGAAGCCTTCTTAGGTAGAGTATTCACAGTTCCTGCTTTAGGGAATGGGGCTGACCTTAATTAGATTATTACATTTAAGAAATCTCAGTTACACACAACTGGTTTTTTCTTTTGATCAAATTAAGCTGGGGAGAAACGAGATAACATAAAGATAAACTTTAAGCCCAAGGAAGAGCCAATGTGCAGTCCTAAATAAAGGATGTTCAGAGGCCGCCTGCTGTCGCTCTCCGTTGTGCTGAATGCTAATAACACCCCGTACACACCAGAGAGCTGTGCTGCTCAGGCGCAGACTCAGGTATCTCTTGGCAGTAAGGCAAAGCAAATCTGAAACTTTGTTACCACCAACTGTCCAATCTCACAGTTTTGGCTAATAGACCCACATAATGGGCAATTCAGAAATGGACCACAGACTCCTTGACCAAACACCGTGGGCTAGAGGCAAAAATGGGAAAATGCGGGTGTAAAATAAAATAGATATTATTAACAAGCTCCATGAGTCATCTTTAGTTTGAGGACATTTTGGTAGCTGAGTGCTCATTATTATGTGAAAAGTGCTATGATCTTTGTCATTGATGATAACATCCTTGTTATAACTTCTTCCCAAGCTGAGCCATGTCTGCATGGGACAAGAGTTTGACATTTTAGGATTAAATGTGTTTTTCTGGTCTTCATGTTAATCAAATCCTGAGTAAATGAGAGCATTAAGAGATGGCCAAAACTACTTGGCTTGTTTAGCAAACAAAGTAAACTATCCTGTAGCCAGGTTTTTAGCTTTTTGACCATGAGCAAAACCAAATCAGGTTGATTTTTTTTTTTTTTTTGACACATCACCTAAAAGTTACCCAAATCCTCAGCCCAAATTTTGTTTCGGGTGTGTTATATGGACTTACCATTCAGTGAGTTTATAAGTCTGGAAAATGAGAGCCTTCACTTAAGGGTGAGTTTGTTAATTACTGTGCTTTGGGGAAATGAAAATGGAGCAAAATATAGCCCTCTCTTTTTCTTAGTAACGAAGTGAGAGTGAGAGCTGCATATAGGGGTTGTGGAATAACAAGCAGCTTCTCCCCTAAAGCCACACGGAGAATGCTTCCTGTATAACCAGCCTTCTGTTAGGCCCTGCCTAGTTGAAAGAACAGAATCCCTCTCAAATTAGCTGAAAAAAATTAGGAGTTTAAGTACAGGGCCCTGATAAGCAATCTCACATCCAAGAAGAAGGGGGAAAAGTTCAGAGGCACCTCATGGGGGCTGGAATGGGGAGCTGGGCCGTCAGGAGGGGAGCCCCCTTCTTGGCTCAAGACCACTGCAACATGCCTTCCTTCTTCTCCTGACACTCCCGACCGGAATCCTCTGCCTCAACTTTGTTTCTGCTGCCTCATGTCTCTGGTTTGTCTGAGGCTTGGGCCTACAGTGATGGTGGCTTCTACCCCAAATCTGTCTGCCTGTTGCCCACCACCAAGCTTCACTGTGTTTCTTGGTCAAGACTTTCTAGACAGAGCCTCTGGCTGAGCTCATTTCTCCAGCCTGGCCACAAAAGCTGTGAGTCCCTGGTCAGCCTGTTGATGCCCTCCCTCAGGTCAGGTGTGTACTGCAGGCTGCCCTGTGTGGCTTGGGCTTTTGGTCACAGGTTTCAGTCTCCTCACCTTGAGAAAAGGGTCGGGTTCTCCAAGGAGGGCACAGGCAGGTGTCCCTCCACACATGGCTTGAGTGGCTGGGCAGTGCTGGGATGGACATCACCGTGGTCTCCAGAAAGTGCTGGTGGAGCCCTCTCAGTTCACCTGGAAATCCCTTTCATTCATGCTTTATTCTAGTGGCTCCCCTGGCATGAAGTCTCAAGATAAGTGACTGTGGGTAAGAGCTGTCTTTCATGGTTATGGTTCTCACTGACGGCTGGCTTTTGGAGTGGGGCTGCTGTTACAGCAGTAAGTAGCTCACAGTTACCTTCTCCAGACTTTTCATTCTCAGCTAAATCTCCCTTAGGGTGACATTTCCAAATTCAACATCATACTCTGTCTCCTGTATATTAACAGAGAAGGTGGAATGACTGGATATTCTGTTTGCCTAAATAAATGAGAGCCTGCCCTATAAAAATGATGAACAGCCTCCCATTGTGTGTAGAGGTTTTTTTTGTTTTGTTTTGTTTCTTTTTTTTTTTAAATTGCTACTTTTAGGAAGCCTTGAAAGTAGGAATTGGGGAGGGTGATCTTTAAAAGCCAAGGACAGAAAACTAGGTGTAGATTTTCCAGTGTTGTCTGGAATTCAGGACTCTCAAACAGGAGGTTTAGTTCTCAGGTGTCTTCAGCAGACTTTAACTGAGGCTTCCAAACCTGGATCCCAAGTGCTGCCCACATCTCCAGGTAAATGTGGCCATGTCTGTGCATCTGGCGTTGGATGAGGGGAGTGAGGTTTGCCCCATGAAACACTGGGCTTTTAGGAATTCAGGCTGCAGAATTGTGTAATAGAGAACTCTGTTATAAAGGCATGATAGTGCTGAATTTCCTACAACAACAAAAGAAGCAACAAAGGCCCTCTAGTCCCCTGGAACGCTTATAACCTGTAGTGTCCTTAGTACAGGCTGCTTACAAGCCAACTCACGGGACACGTTGCTTTGAATTTTTTATCAGACACAGTGTGGTTTGTCTTTTGACTCTTCACTCAAACCCACAGTGCTGTGGGATGCTATAAAAACAGAACAGCGCTTATGAACCAGGCCCACCGGGTTATTGTTAATGAACAAGCATTCCTGAAGGGGGCCATTTATTTTCCTGTTTGTCCAGCCTTTCATGGATCTGATCCCAGCACAGCCTTCTCTCTGGTGTCAGTGAGGGGTTCCTGCATTGATCCCTGGAGGGTTGTGCTAATATTAAGCAGTTAGGGTTCCTTCTAGAATGCTGAAATGACCTCCATGTTAAATATCATCACCAGCTTCCCACCTTTCTGTTTCCTTCAGGTATTTGGATCAGACAGGAAAGTTGCCAACTTTTGGTGGTTATATCACATCTCTGCATTTTCCAACTCAGCTATTTCAGACTTTTTAAAGAACTGCTCTGTGCTGCGATAAGCCCACCAGGCTCAGAGGCTAGGGAAGTGATCCATGTGGCTGTTTATGAAGTTCACCAAGATCTATGTGGGGCAATAGGCAATCAGCTAGGGATGCTTGTTCCCAGAGAGGCCATGCTAGGACTGGGATGAATATGAGTCTAGCCCCACTGGGAAAACACAGCAGTGAGCCTGTTGGGCCAGACCTAACAGAGAAAAGACCACAGTAATTTCACAGCAAAATCACAATCTGTTAATTATCAGGGTTTGTGGAGAGAATATGGCAAAATATCCCAGGGAATTTTCTCTCCCCTCTTGGAGAGAGACCTCTCCACATTGCTCTGAGCTTGCCAGAGAGAAGGGAAGCTGGCATTTGAGGAAGGAAGGGTCTGTGTGTTCAGAATGCAATCAGTGGATCTTTCCAAGTTCCTTCATATTTAGTTCCAATTTCTGCACCCCTATTGCATACTCAGTGTTTTTTTTTTTTTTTTT